GTTCGGCTGTGCAAGCGGCTTAAGTCTCATGATCCTTGGAGGACCCTCAGGCAACGTCAACCACCCGAGGGCAAGCCATTCCAGTTTTGGCGCCGCCACGGACAAGAAGAAGAAATCTGCAGGCTGCAGGGCACTGCAGGGCGCCTCCAGAGCTGCACCTGACTCCGGAGCATACGAAAATGGTTGGCTTCCACGAGCAATCTCACTCGATGAGAGGATTGCCAGGATGTATGTTCGTCAGAATGAAGCTGGCCAGAATGAAAGTGAAGCTTGGGCTGCGCTGCAAAGCTCGTGATGAAGACGCAGCTCATCAATAGGTCTTTCCCACGTCCAGCTACTGACCGTGGCCCAGTGACTATTATACTACACTGCGCATCGCAAGGATACCAGAAATAGTGCAAGACCTTCTGAGCCCCGGAAGTGCGAATCGTACGCGCTCAGCTGCAGCTCCCAGCACAGCTAGCAGCTCTGATGCTCGTGGCACTTGGTTGTTTGGAGGTGACCCCGGGAGTGCCAATCTCTGGAAGCCGCTGATCACAAGGCCATCATTTTCACTGACACGCGTGCAGAGACCCACATCAAGGTGAAAGTCCTCAATGAACAAGTTCGAGATCAGATGCCGTCTGAGACCCCAGCATCGCAAATACGACCACTGGTTGGCTGAAGCTGGCGCTAGGTTTTTTTATCGGAGCCCAGCTCGGTTCGCAGGGTTCCCAAATTGAGAACTTGACAGTCAATATGGAGCAGCAGACACAGGCGACTAGCGCATCAGCTGAACAAGGTTCAAGTGGACATCAAGGGCGCAGTCGGCGCTGGATAGGTTGGAAGCTGAAGAAGAGAACAATGTGGATCTCTGGGAGGTTCTCTTGGTGGTGATGTTGCAAGCTCCCCCTTTCTTGATGACTAAGGTGGCTGCGCATTTGTCCTTGGGCGACGCTACGTCCTCGCAGGAAGCAGGCCAGTTCAGAGCTTGGGATTTGTTTTCACTGACTACTTGGACAATGGCCAGGGGGTGGGTGCTAGTGCCCATACGCCTTTACAGCAGCCCAAGGCGGAATCCATTTTTAGTTTCTTTTGGGCTGGCCACTGTACAACTGTTTGTAACAGAGTCTCAGCGACACTGCGCAGTACATCGTTCCGGTGTCCTTCGTCAAGTTTTACATGGGTTTGTTCTTGACGCTGGTTCTGATCTTCCGATTAGATTGGTCCTTATTCTTGGGTTTCGACTTGGACGTTGGCCTGAATGACCTTTTTGGGAGGACTGAGTTAGTTCGTGTGCTTTTCGATATTTTCGGTTTGCGCGTTGACACCATTACGGTCACCCGACCGTGCAGCGCGAGAATTCGGGCCATTCCTGGATTGCGACTTCCCTGGCCTGGGCGGTTGGCGAACCGGCGTGTGGCTCTCCTCTTTTCGTTGTCTCAGCGTCGCTCTGGCTATGCTAGACAGCGCGGTGCCTGGATCGCTCCGCTCGTGCGTCATAAATTGAATGTCTCTGCGGAAGTCGCTCTATACAGTTTCAACTTGTTGTCATTAGGGTGTGTCGTGGAATGGCTGACATTCCGACACTCAACACGGAGACTCTGAATGCTTATGCACCTTGTTGTCTTGGCCTGGAGGATTGCGGAGCAAGATGGTAAAGAACAGGACTAGGATGGACGAAAGAGCACAACTCTTGCAGTTGCGCCTTGAGGGTGTGTAGTCGTGGAAATTGTTTTGCTATCCTTTTTGTTTTCCGGGCGTCCTGGAATCGGGATTGCGTGATGAAAAGCCAAAGGGTTGACTGATTCGACTGATTCGACTCGAGCCGAAAGAAGCTCAAGCAGAACTAACTCCTCCAAAGCAAGTCCAAGTTGAGGAACAGCCGTCTGCCACAAAATGTCTTGCAGTGCCACCGCGCAGCCGTTTGTTCGTTGCCCCCTTGACCGGAGCGTCGTTGATGTTGGAGCAAAAAAGCGGTGCCATGTGAGAAGCTCGGCTTCAGTAGCTGGACTGTCATTGCCAAGAGCTCGCTGCAGGCGATACAAAGCAACAGCAATCATGCGCAATCAACAGCGCTTACGAACGGTGACCTCCCTGAGCTCGAGCTCCGAGCGCCAAGCCAAATGGGCAGTGGAGAGCCCGTCGAAGAAAATTGCAATCAACTGTCAACTGACAGTCCTCGATCCTAGCCAATCACCACGACCGTGCAACATAGGGGCCCATACAAGGCCAAAGTGTCTCGTGAAGAATGCTCAGCTCTGATTGGCTGATGCTCTTGAGGCCCTGTCCATCAACGCCTGCCCCAAGCCCACCTCGCACTTGCCAGCAGGAAGGAAAGTTCCAATAGCAATCTCCAACAGGGACAAATGAAGTCATGGTCATTCTTCGAATTTGTTGTGAGCGACGACCGTTCCATGAGGGTACAGCCCCAGAAGAGCCGTCGCTACGTCACGTGGTGCGCGATCAAAGAGCCGCTGACCCATCAGGAGTCCAAAGATCCATGGTCCAACCAAGAAAGAGAGATGACTCCCTGGGGACCAAGCAAAATACCATCAGCATCTTCTCCCTTCAGCTTCCTCTCAGCTTGTCAGACTTCTGAACCAGTCATACGCTGATAGACCTGGAGGTTCACCAGAACAGAATCATCTGCAAATTGCTGAACTGAACGATGCTGACATGCGTTTGAGGTAAAGGCAACTTCATTGCATGCTCTCGCACGATGTCAGTCAGAAAGCATGAAAGCCCTGTCGATGTGCGTCAAGAAAGGTGCTCTCAGGTCGATCGGCGTCCCTCGCTGCACGCATGGAGTGAGCCGGAGAAGCTATCTGCCCCGGCCCAACAGTGGAAGATCAGTGCAAGCTGGCTGAGAGTAAGCTACATCTCCATAGGCCAAGTCACTGAAAAGCCCTCGTTCCAATAGCAGGAATTTGAAGGCAGCTTCTTCATGAAAGGGTCCCTGCAACCATTGCTGGCTCAAGTCCGCAAGAACTGGGGCTGTTTACTGCCCACCACCTAGCTCGCTTGCATTGCCAGATCATCTCAAGCCTCAAAGTGAGCCCATGCCATTTCCAACCATGTGAGGCACAGTATTTCCAAGGCTTTACAAGTGAGCGGGTGTTGACCTGCTCCTCGAACACACAGCCGAGCATCCGTTGCGACGAAGAGAGTCACAAGCCAAGGAGCTTCTGTCGAGCATAACAGTGGTGACAAATCCAGCCTGAGCAAAGCCAAGACTCGCTCCACCCATGCCTGCGCATACTTCCACACAAAGTCGTGGAGTAGCAGCCTGGACCTGATCGTGTCTGATCATGTTTGAGACTTCAGTTGGATCTTCACCGCCCCAGCTGCCGAAAACCTCTCGACATGCCATCGGTGAAAGGAAGCTGATGTTCCCTCAGTCGCACATTCCACCGAAAACAATGGCTGGGTCATGGGATTTACCAAACCAACTGATCTTCAAACTGCTTGCGAAGCAGCAAAAGGTGGCACATTTCCCCACATCATGTGGGGTCATCCAGCAGGTGAGCAGAGGATCCATTGCGAGAAACGTGCCGGCCCAATCTGCCATCAACGCTGAGCTACTGTTAAGCTCGGGCCAACAGCTATGCAAAGACATAAACACATTGTTTAAAGCGGCTTGGGCTTCATGAGATGCCTCTTTCGAATCCCCCAAACTTGGGCACCTACAAGGCCTTGTCGAACTCCTAAAATCAAAAACGCGCCTGCGACCGAAGGTGTCCACGAGAGCAGGATCGATGCTGGCATTCACGATCTGTCGAACGTGCGGGCACTTCGGGAGACAGTTAAGTAATCCTCGGAACCGTTCCAAACATGGAGACACACCAAAGTGAGAATATGGTTGCCTGAACAATTTAGTGCTGACAGCGGGAGTAGAAGCCGTTGTAGTTACACCGTCAGAGCTGGTGGGAGTGAAAGTTGTATGTCCATTGATGTTTATTGTATATTGTAAGCAGTAGCAGGAGCAAGAGTAAAGCAGCAGTAGTAGTGGCAGTGGTAGCAGTCCTCCTAGTACTAGGAGTGTAGACTAGCCTTGATCTGATTTGCAAGTGCCTGGCCTGCCGCACATGGCCCACTAGCGCAAACCTTGGCATGTTACTGATTTGGAAGACTGGAAGCCAGGAAAAGAACACCATAAAGCTACAGTAGCTTTTCCAGTGTCTTTCTGGGGAGGCTGTTTATGTGTGGGTAATCTGAATACACGATACTTCGACCCGATGCTGCAGAAGCAAGGCTTCATGTGAGGTCAGGACGTCAAAGTCTCCAACATAGAAACACACAGTGTGGCTAAAACAATTCCACAAGTGCATCGCTACTAGTAACAAGTGCCTTACTAGTAGTAACAAGAAGCTACTAGTAACAAGTGCCACGCTACTAGTAACAAAGTCACTCATCTGATCCGGAAGAATTCCTGTACTTTCTCACATCGACGCGACCGTAGGTCTTGAAACAGCTGAACACTTGGAAAGAAATTCCATGAGGCCACCATCTGCCAGGCAACTTCAAAAGGATGAATTATCTATACAATGCCTGCAAATGCATCCCACAGGAGCTGCGTGGAACCTCCTGCTCCAACACAGTGCAATCAGCAGGCCGAGCAAATGCGGCACATTGACCTGTGTGCCCAACATGCTGAGTCTTCAAAACTTAGCTGTCCAAGTCCTCTTCTACTTTGGAGTCATACGAGGCGTGGCCACATGGCTCAGGTTAAAATCCCCGGAGCCATGTTTTGCAGTGCATTCACGAGTGCCGTCAGCAATCCCCGATATTTCAGCTTCTGTGCTCCTTCTCTAAGCAGCTTTATATGTTCTGGTCGTGCTGGAGTCTGGTCGTTCTGGTTTGCTCTATCTCAATATCAAAATGCACATCGGGACAAGAAGGGTCACCTTCTGTCGCGACCCTGTGAATTTCGAAGGATAGCCTTGGGCTCAAGAGTCTCAAGAGATGGTGAAAGTGCCACTGCACCCGGCAACGCAAATTGTGTGGCACGGGCGTTCCTGCTACTGCGCCTTGCTCAGCAAGTTGCGTAGAAAGAAGAAAAAAGAGACCTCTGCCCCATCAACTCCTTGACTGTACCTGAGTCGAATGGCTGTAAAAGGCATCTTAATAGACGCTCAACTGAGTATTGTCCCCAACATTCGCCAACCAAGGATCTCAAACTTGGGACTTTCGCCCACCATATCCATGTCAAAACCACTGAGGTTCAAACACAAAACGAGATGCCACCCATGCGCCTGCACAAAATGGAAAACATGTTTGGGCAGAACTGTACAATCGCAGTGGTGCAAAGGAAGAATGACAATCCAAGTTCATCATCCATTGAGATTCAAGATTAGACATTCAGTTGATGACGTAGCCACTTGGAACCAGTGTGGGCAACTAGCATTTGAGCCCCATCCCAGTAAACAACAAAGTTGACAAATTAGGCTCCAAGAATTATTTCACACATACACCTGCACCAACGTTATGATTTCATGTGCAATTTACAGCCACTCTGCACAAAGAGACGGAGGTGGAGCAGCAAAAGCAGCAACAGCACTAGCAGCAGGGGCTGCCAAACTGGGATTGCCAACAGCACGAGAGAAACACAAGCTAAGCCATCATGTGAATGGGATTGCTAGGATCCTCTTTGTTGTTTTTTCCCAGGCGCCACAAAAACATTGAGGGATCAGCTGATCAGCATGCCTGAAACATGAGCGTAGCCTAAAGGTTTCCAGTTTCCCATGTCGTCTTGCAGCGACACCAGCCTATGACAGCCGCCACGTAGTTTTTGGGCACGCGCTGTAAAATACCATCCACACCAAGATGTTGTAGCATCACAGGAGGTACTGCAAGTTCCAATACTTGTCTGACAAGCCTGCACAGTTTCATCGATCGGTGCTTTGGCTAACCAAAACCAGTGGTTTGAATTCATGGGTAGGCGGTACGCCTGGGGACACTGATGGTGCAATAGCACTTGAAAGAGCAAACTTGACAAAATGCTGCTTTTGGGAAAACGCATCCCACGAGTGCTCCTCCAAGAGCCCTCGGGCCTCTGAATCGGAGAATGCGATATATATATAAATATATATAAATGTATAATTATAGAACATGAGATTATTAGAGTGCAACTTGCAAAACGCTTGGGTTGTTCTGCATTCTCTATCTTTCGCGCACCCTTTGATGGAACAAACACTGTGGTCACTGTTGTTAACATGACCTGGGTCAAGCATCCATTCCGCGGCCTCTCTCGTTCGGAGCTGCACATACTTGCAAACTGCTCCATGATGGCATCCTGCGATTGTGAGGGCGTGCTGAGCACCAGAAATTATTGATGCTCATTATAGATGTATATACCCCAAGCGCTTTTGACCGTCTTGAAGGAGCGGTGCTTGCAAGGAGCTTCAGGAATGCTGATAGGGTGTGACAGTTGTGGAGGGCCAGTTCTGTGCGTCTTCACACAAACAGCGGTATAGGTGTGCCGGGCATGGGCATTTCTCTGGCCCGTGCCTGGCACACGGGCTTTCTCAAAGTAGGCCTCGAAGATGGCTCTCCAAAGTCGCCAGTACAAATAGCTGGACGCGGTCTTCTTAAATGGAAATACTTCCAAGTGGCCCCCCGGAGGTGTGTAAGGTGGACTTTGAATGGCTATCCAAGAATGTATGGCTTGCTGCGTTCTTTTTTTGGCATCCTTTTCTACACTTTACATCTCCTTCGTAACTGTCTGTGTTCCTGGTGCGTGCAAGTCTCGTGAATGACGGCGTCTCAAGTTCCCCCCCCTGGTGATGATCACTCAAAGCATGTCAGGTGACCATGAAAAAGCACCAACCAAACGTGCAAGGCAGAATTGATAGGCGATAGAGCCCCAATATCTCCTTTTGCACTGGTATTCAAAAGCCCGACATGGATAACTCTAGACTATGACTGCTTCCAAATCAGGCACAAGATTGATGCGATACAAAAGGGTGCCAGCAAACACTCCGATGACTTGAGCTGTGTTCAGCCTTTGCTCCTAGTAGCTATTTGCTCCTAGTAGCAAGGCCAGGAGCCCCTAGTAGCGTCCTTGCTCCTAGTAGCGATGCCCTTTGCTCCTAGTAGATTTATTGCAAATGCATGCTTTTTTGCTCCTAGTAGCCAAATGTTGAAATCCATAGGATTGGAATAGTCATGGAGAAATTGATGGGGAAAGGAACGGCCGGCTGCGGATTGGCGTAGGCGATTCAATCGCTCACTACTTCGATTCTTCGAAGATGAAGCAAATGGATTCAGAAGTGGATATAGGATGAAAAAGTGGATGGTAGCTCGAGGAAGACACTTGCGCCACAGTGTTTGCCTTTAGGAAGCAAAGACTTGGTCACTTGGTCCAATCTGCAGTACTTTGTATCCTTCAACCTGCCTATGCTGCCAAACTTGTGTGCAATGCCTGCTTAGATTGGAACTAATGGCTCTCGTACAGCTGGTTTCTGGGCACCGGGCCTTTAGAGGTGACATCAAATACAATAGTGCTGATTTTGTAATAATATGTATAATTCAGCTCTGCTGAAGCTGACTGAAGAAAAAACAAGTAGTTACAGTAAAACCGGACAAAACTCATTAAAACTACACCTGCATAAACGGTCAAGGCAGGATCGACAACTCCGATACGAAGCCCTGCAGACATGACTCCTGCAAGCTGTTGATCTTACCTGGGTGACTGCTTGATGGTGAAAGAGGAATTCAACCCCGTTTGTCCCGTTTGTCACATTCTCCAAACACTCACGTATAATGATTCCTTTTGTGAAGGCACCATGCCACTATGTGTACATGCTTACACAACCGCATTTGCACACAACCTCCTGTCTCATAGCTTGATGCACAAGACATGGTGTCAAGTTATGCTGCATTGGACCGTCGTTGTGGGTGTGTACCAACTGAATCTTGGAAACCCTTTAAGCGGCCCTTGCCGTCTAATTTTGTTTCCTTTAACTACTCTTATATACACGTACCAAGTACGAGCGAGGCCAGGGCACCCAAGACGGCCACAGCAGTTGGCACTCTAGTGCGTGCCTTCCCTTCCCAAGTCTGACCTCTACAGTCCCCTAAACAGTATATATACATGTATAACTACCCACCCCACACACAAAACCTACCTTATCAAGGTTTTAACGGTACCTGGAGGGACCTTTGTTTATATATTCACACCGCTTCGCGGTTGAAGCCGCACAAAGCCTTTTCCTCCTAGGCTGGTCTTGAAAAAAGGGGCTATCGGTACACTTCTCGATTTGTGTCCGACCGCACTCCCCCTTCGGACTTAGTCCGAACCTCGTCGGACCCGTCTCGATGCCCCGGATGGCTAACGAAGAAACTGGGGCTATTCTTCCATAGGTACCGGCTGGCAATTCAATGGCAATCCCGGTCTTGATCAAGACGCTCTCGCCCGGGGGAACTAGTGTTTCGATGGTTGAATACAAGTCCAACCCTGCAGCTTGGTCCGAGCCCCTGGTCGGAAGACGGGCCTCTGGGTTAAGCAACTTCACCTTGATCTCCTCCTTCGGTTTGAACCACCGCTGAATGCCAGATGTGCCCACTCGGAAGGCGATATCCACCAAAATGGCAATGGCTGCCGTGATCAACACGATGATCCACCATTCGCCTGTGGTTTCCGCCACTTCCACCTCTGCTGCCTCCACTCTTCCAACCAAACAGGCAGCTGCGATGAGGAGTCCCACTCCCCGAGTGAAGCTCGGTTCAACCTTCTTAGTGATCTCAATCCTCTTGACTTCGATCGGCTCCCTCTCGCCTCCGCTGAGTCCCAGCGCCCTCTTGAATCTTCCCAGAGCCGGACCCGTGAGTTGCTTGGTGAAGCCATCAGCAACGAGGATCTTCCCGGACACATGATCCAAGGTGATCTCCTTCTCCTTGATCGCCTCGGTGAGTCCAGCTGCTCGAATCCTCAGATGCCTCGTCCTCCACGATGACGTAGTACCTGTGGCAATCGCGATGGCCGCAGTGGAATCCGAGTGGAGCCCCACCTTGGCTGCCTTCCCAACCACCGCCTCCACCAATGCCGCAGTCGATCTCCCTGCAATCAAACCTTCGAGCAGGGCCATGAGTTCCGCCTCCGCCGTTGACAAGGTGACGAAGGGCTGACGCGTCGTCTGCCAACCCAGTGGCGTCCCTCCGACGAAGACTGCCACCCCCGAAATGCTCTTCAGCTCCGATGACCCGTATGAGGCATCCGTGTAGATGTCGACTGTCTGGATCGCGGTCTTCTCATTGTCGTCGACCACCTCTCCATTCTCCATCGTATTGGCAGCCAGCACCACAACCTCTTCGATCGTCTCCCTGAGATGAGCTCGGAGCTGCTTGCCAATCTTGATCACCTGCATTGGCCTTTTCGAAGCCCACTGAGACATAATGCCCACCCCCAGCGACAAGTCCGGGCGGGTCCTTCCAGCCACCCACAGCAACTCTCCCGTTTCCTTCTGAGCTCTGAGGACCTGCTCGGCTGTCGGATGCTCCTCCTCCTCTGGAGTTCGAACATGACTCAGTGCCCCCCGCTCCTTCTCATCGTACTCATTCAGCAGGTTGGTGATGTAGGCCTGCTGATGGATGACGTAGTCCATCCCCCTCTTCTCGATCTCCATCCCTAAGAAGCGGACGGGTTCTTGGCCCTCCATCACCCACGAGGGCTCTCCGATCTTCCAATGTTCCTTGACCTGGTTGATGAACCCCCGAATGATCTCCTCTTCTCCAACCACCAGCACATCATCCACATAGGTGGCCAGTGCCCCCTTAGTAGTCCACTGCTCCTGGTTGTCGAACTCCTGAACCAGCCAGATGTCCGCTTGAGGTGTTGGCTGTATGCGCACCTGTCGTCCCTCTCTCTCCCACCGGAAGTTCTTGATCTTCCCATCTCGGTGGTCACACCAGTCACGAGGGGATGTCACCAGCCCGTACAGGGCCTTTTTTACCAACCACAATTCCTTCGGATCTTGGAGCACCTCCGCCTCCTGAAAGATTCGTGGTGGTTGGACAATCACTGTTCCTCTGTCGTGAGCAGCTGGTGCGTTGAGGAATGCGGTCTTGACGTCGATGGTACTCAGCGACCATTGGTGGACTGACGCCATCTTGATCAGCATCCTCACCTCGATTCCACTCGCTCCTGATGCAAATGTGGATTCGGAGCTCTTGGCATTCATGAAGTTGCCGCGTGCAACTCCTCGGCACTTGTGTCTCCCCGTGCCTGCCTTTCGGCTGAAGATGGCTTTCGCCGGAAAGACTGATGCCTTACATCCAGGTGTTCATTTTACATCTGGGTGTCCACCCCATTTGGTGTTTTTCATGGACCAAAAGAGGTTGCCAACATGGCCATGTTGACTGCTGGCTGCCATGGCTACCCAATGGCCATGATGACTGTCAGTAGTCACAAATGGTCACAATAGGTCGCCACCATTGTTTTCAATGGCCATGTTGACAGCTGACATTGTCAATAGCCATGATGACTGTCAGTAGTCACAGAGTCAGGTTGCCATGTTCGTTTTCACTGGCAATGTTGACTGCTGCCATGGTTTTCCACTGGCCCTGATGAATATCAACCTACCATTGTTTCAATGGGCATGTTTCAAAAATACTATATTTCCACGTCGTTTTACCACATATCTACGTTTGTTTGAAACAAAAACATTTTTGAACTGTCATATTAGTTAATTATTGTATCAGTGTTTTTTTGAAAATACGTGCGCGTACAAGTATATACTGCAATATTGGTGATGTGTGTGACTCACTGGAACCGCTTGAAAAAACAAACAGAAGCATATGCGTTGCACTGGTTGCACTGAAATTATGCACGCGCACACACACACACACAAACATAGGTTGAACGTCTGCAAACTCCACCCTGACCCCTCCGAACATGTTGAAAAAACCTAATCCAACGAAGGAGTTCGAACCACGACTCGAAAAACTCAGAGTGATAGTAAAGAGAGCTTCCCTATCAGCAACTTTTCTCGCACTGACCTTCGAGTGGCCTCGAGCAGCAGTTTGCTGCACTGACATGTGCCCTATCCACACTGAGCTTAGCTAATCTACATTGAGAGTCTTGTCTTCTGTCGCAGCTTCGGACTCAGCTCCCTCCATATCAGCATCTTCCTCAGCGTCTTCCTCAGCAGGCTCTCCTCCCGCTTCCGCGGGGGCAACCACTGCTGCTGCCGCAGATGCTGATAGACTCTCCCGCATCATTGCCTGCAAGTGAGCTTACTGCTGAGTTGTTTCAAAAGGCGTGCTGACAGCAATACACACAATAATCAACTGAGTTCATGTCCACCATGCTTGTCACGTCTCGTTGGTTCGCTCCCTTCTCTAACTCCAAACGAGCAGCTTCCTGAGCACAAACAGAACTCACACTGATTGTTAAAGCGCTGGCCTCAGTGTTAAATTCAACAAATTTAAATCATCAAAGGTGCTGCGATCTGTTCAACCTTGCAATTTGGAGCACCGTCAACTGGATGGACCTGACTGAAAGACCAGAAATGACAATTACCAAAAATGAACTGTTGAAAAGCAAAGTGAACACAGCAACATCAAGCTGAACATGCTTGAGCGTCCAACAATGATCACCTGGCGTCCGTTGGTTTTGATGCCCCATGTGCTGTCCCGCTTGTAGAAGCACTTGAACGCTTTTTGAGGCATCGTCGCAGCAGCTGGTCGTTTGAAAGCTGCTGCACAAGACGACTTGGCAGCTGCTGGCCTCTTCAAGGTCTGAGGAGGCTGCGGTTTTTTCTCCGGCGGATCTAAAGCTGGCTCCATGACTCTTTTGGCACTAGCAGCCTTCACTGAGGCTTTGGCTTTGACTTTCGCTTTCGGTTGCTTCTGTTTCGGTTCAGGTTCAGCGGTCTTGGGCACGATTTGAGCAGGAGTGGAGCCTGCCCCTGCGGCAGCATCTCCCCCACCTTCATCGTCTGACAAGGCTTGCACCGAATCCAACACCATTGCGTTACAGTGCGCGCCAAGGGAAAACTATTGCAGCCACAAAAGGACTGGCAAAACAAATTTGACCATGGTCACAAGCAGACTTCAAGATCATGAAGGCCTCATCCTGCTGTCATGGACATTCACGCACAGTGAACCTGCTATTATTGTAAAACACTTCACCTACTCTATTTTCACGCATCCTGCCTACGTTCGAATCAGGAAGAAAACTGATCGCTTGCCATCATCAACCCAACGAAAGACTGGTTTGCGACTCAGCAAGACTCAGCGTGTTAGTTTCCCACAGCTAAGATAGCTAAGATTGTTCCGCTTTTTACCAAAAAGTCAGCAGCAAACCAGTCTCAGGCGATGTTAATCTTCACAGCCGTCTGGCTGGCAATCAAAACTGAACATGTCAGCCAGAACTTCGGTTTCTGGCCAACTATTTTGGCTGGAACGCCAGTCTCCAATTTCACCTGCCAATGATGAAAGGCATCTCAAACCCACTGATGAAAGCAGCGCAGCAAACAAAAGCAACAGCAATCGTGAACAAGGAAGCCTCCCACAACACGCTGCCCATTGCACTCTTCGGTAGCTTGGTCAATTGACCCTCAGCCAGCGCACCGAGAATTGTAGCCCGCATGGCCACGGCTGGATCCACATCAGTCGTCTGGTGACTCTTCGGGGTGAAGACACTGACCTTGCCCTTTGGGATGATGGAATGGCGGAAGCTGATTGGATCACCACCCTCCTGCCATCATGTCAAACCACTTTGAAAAGATTCTCAAACGATCACATCTGCAACTCACATTGTGTGTTTTGTGTTTTGTTCACTCCTCCACTTTTTGTTCCATTTGGTGTTCAACAAGATTCAGCGAAGTAACCCCCAGCTTTTGCGCTGCATGGTAACATACTTCAGCAACATTCATTGGTGCTTTCTTCTGCCCATCTGAAACCAGAATGACCAGCGTCTTGTCATGCTCGATGAGCCACGGCCATGAAGTCCCCGCTTGCGTGCGGGCTGTGCCTGCTGACTCACAAAGAACACAGGTGAAGCAAACAAAAAGATTGAACACAATCAAGAGCTCGTATTCCAACAACTGTTTTGTGCCTGTGGGTGATTCTGTGCAAGCTCCCAAGCCAAAGCCGAACAACTCACAACTCGTGAGGGTAATGTCTGCGCCACTCGTGTTGAGAAGCCAAACTTCCATTGTCTTCGTCAAGCAAACCATAACATCGGCATTGCCAGGCACCTGCGCTTTGCCTGCCAACCTCAGCACTTCAAGCAGGCTTACTTGTACTTAGTAAGTCTTTAGGTAGTGACTGCACATCTTTACAAACCTATTTGTGACTTGTGCATCTAGTAGCTCGAGCGTTGACTCGAACTCTGCCTTGGACAGAATCTGCGATGGCAATACCGTCCTGGATGTGTTTACGGGCGTCTCATCGGCTCCAAACACTGGGCGGCACGCAAGACGGCGGCCACTGCCACCATCACCATCAGGCTTGGCCCCAGACGATCCACTGCCACTCGTCTCTGGTGTCCGCATCATAGCAGCAATCTCAAACTTTTCATTAAACTTGTCCACCTTCTCCCGCACTGGCGCAATGGAGCCGGGATATGCATCCACCACTGTGGTTGGAATCCTCAATAACATACGAAGCAGAACTACTGCGATAGGGAACTGCGCACAAAAAGGAAGATGCTCAAAAACCAGCAAAGGAAACTAAGGAAACTTATGGTGGTAAATTGCAGCCACAGATCAAGACCTTGTCATCCTGCACAGCAAGCACATTCAAAGTTGGGAGTGCCTTTGTCTGTGTTGAGCTCGGGCGTGTCTTGGCTCCAGCTTCTGGACAGCTGTCCCACCAATCCTGAGTTATTTTTTAGACAGAAAAGTACTGTATCGGAACGTCAAATGGAGTGAATGTGTTCTGACCATTCACACTGACCAGCCCAGTGGCAGACATCATGGTGCCAGCAATTGTCCCTTTGCTTGTGTCCAGCTCTGCGCTCTCTGTGGAATAGGATGAGAACGCCCACTGCATACCCTTTCCCGAGCGCAGCTTCTGAATCTGTGACTGAAGAATGGCTCGTCCCCATTCATTGAACCTGCCACTTCTCAAACAAAAGTTCAATTCCATCTTGACTTCAAAAAGACCTGACAATAAACATGACAACACCACCTTGAAGGAATGAGATCCATAACCATGACTGTCTGCGGTCCGTCTGGCTGCCCACTCGGAAGCACCCCATCCAAGATGGCAGTAAGAATCTCTTGGGTGGCAGTAAGTCCCCGCTGTTGCACCTAGGACAGTTCCAGGCCCACGGAAAAGTTCAGAAAACACGTGCAAGGATTGACTCTCATAAAATTAGGAAGCCAAATCACCCTGAACGGAGCTGCTAATGGACGATCCTCCTCCGGGTTCAACAATTCACATACTCTGGCACGGCTCACTGGCCCAATTGTGCCAAGTAGGCATTTGCTCGCGCTGAAACTCCAATCACGGTGGATGCGGCATACTGCTGCAATGCCTATAGAAACAAAATTTAAAGGGGACTGGCTATCAGTTTGCACTCAACTCACGCTCACTTCAGATGTTGCCGTCAAAGTTGCACGGCTGATTCTTCTTTCGCTTGTCACCGCTGTGCGATGAATCCTGAAAGGATAGGGAGATGTCGGCCGTCTCAAAGCACCTCATGTAGAAAACCGATAATAACAGGGCAGGAAAAATCCATCAACTCAAGCGTTGTTCGAATATTCTTAAGCGAGGAACGCCATCAGCTTGTCTTCCATCGATCGGCGGCGGGAAACAACAGTGGTGGTGTCAATGGATCCGTGGTGTTGTGGAAGCAGCGCGAACACAAACACATTCTTGTTCCCACTCGAAAGGGACCGCGCAAGCTCAACGGCTTCATCAAGTGCAGTGGGTCCTCATGTTTCCAGTTAATTTCAAGTTCAACTTCACACAGATCAAACACACAAAAATTGTCACCCTATATGTGTTTCTCAATTTTCATCGCCGAGTATCGCTTCGGCCAAATAGTGGCATCGATGATCACAACGACATACCTTTCAGACTGAAGTCCAGACTGGTAATTTCATATATTATAATTGAAAAAACATAGCTTCCGACCATTGCATCTGAGATGCACAGGTTTTCCTGTCTTGGCTTGAACCTTCGACACGCATTCCAAGAAATCAGGCAAAGCGTCTTGGAGGCTAGGCACATGGACATAGCGCTGGTTGTCGCCCATAAATGTTTGGACTTCCTTGACACCACGGTCATATCGGTTCTTGAGATATTTTACATCCATCTTGGCCTGACAAAGATTCAAACAAATAGCACTGAGTGGTCGGGCTGGGCCATTGAACATGTTTTCGGATTCACATGACTTATCTGTCAGGTGCGCCTGTCGTGATGCCTCTGCCTGTAGACATGTGAAATGCTCTGTCAAGTTGTCCAAGTCGGACTCAATCTTCAATTGCAATTGGCTGAAAGTTGCAGCAGCCAATTCTTCTGCAAGCCTGGGCTGAAAAACGATCGGTCCTACGCCTAGTGAACATTGGCAATCAAGGTCCCAACTTCTCTGCAGCAGCAAGTTTATGATCTGCTGCCTTCAAAACTGCTGTGCTGTAAACTAATTACCTGGTTCCAAATGACTTGTGCGAGAAAGTACCTGCGATCAGCCCCCACCTCCTGGGCATGTTTCTGCATAGCAGCCCGAAAGACTGACACTGCCCCAAGGTCAGCTGGTGGCACGCTCGATTCCAGCATTGTCAAGAGCTCAACATCGATATGCCGCAGACTGAACCTCAGAGGTCGCAAATAATATTGCACACTCGCAAAATTAAAGTTAGCTGGCGCACGCTTTCTTGATTCCCACCATCTCCGCATCGGCAAAAGCATGAGGAACAGCAGTACGGAAGCTCTTTTCCAGGAGCAGGAAAGCACAGCAACACCGCTGCAGCATCTCCTGAGAAATGATGCAGTAATGGGAAGTGAGAAGTTGGGCACGATAGGAAAAACGAACATGTAAAGGCGTTCAATCGGATCCAAGGAGCTATGTCTTTGGTCAAAAATGGCTTGCGCATTTTCGGATGAAGGGCGGCATAGTCTGCCCCCATTCTATCAAGGACCAGACTCAGCACTGGCAGCGTGCAAAGAAGCTGATCATCCCAAGCTTGCGTAGAAGGAGTTGCGCAAGAAGCATCAAGATTGAACATGCCCCCACTGATGGGTTCGTGATGGACAAATTTGCCCATTGAGAACATCCTACAGCTAGTTCAAGGTCCAAAAATTATTGCCTGACTAGTTGCTCACAACATGATGGCGCAATAGAAACATAAACTATATGTCCTGACGTATTCGCTGAGTCTGTCCACGACCTCACTGGGCACCTTCTGCATGAGACACATGGCCGCCTGAGCCTCTGTCTTTCCAATTCTGTATGCTTCTGCGAAGCGTGTGGTAGACTCCCATTCCTGCAGCAAATCAAGAGAAACAGTTGATCTGATCTGATCGGTCTGATCAAAACATATCAGATCGCCTCAAACGATCCAAGTTTGGATTTTGCTCGCTCAGCCCACCGAAGCTGGTGAAGGAGGTTGAACGCGTTGGGGCGGCGGCGAATTGCGGCATTTGCCAATGTTATGCCTCAAAACTCAAAAGCAAATCCTGAAAACTCAGAAGCAACTGGCAGGCAAACTGACAAGCAATCTATTTGCCTCGGTTTTGTGAAAGAAGCTGTTCCGGGTTGTCACAGTGGAGAACGGAGGCGTGCAAGGTGCAAAAACTCCTCCGGAACATTGAAGCAACAAGAGTCACGATTGTCAAAGGTTCAACAGCGAGTATATGATGCTGCTGCGCCTCTTCAGATCTGCTGGCCATGCCTGCTGAAACTTATACAGAAGAGCTGCCTATGAATGATAACAAAGGAAATTGACCCGCCTTCAACATCTCCGGCTCAGCGTACACGTGCATAAGGCACGTTGTCATGCAAACACACCTTGACCATCCTTTCACAAGGAAAATGTTCATTGGCTGCAAAAAATTAGCTGGATCTTTGTGGCAAATGTCAGATGTCTGAAAGGCCATGTGTGGCGTGGAAAGAAGGTCGTGCTTGATCTCGCTCACTGCAATCTTCTCTGTCCCAGGAATATTGGGATCTGTGCAAAACCTCAACACAGCACAACTACTGGATGGGCTTGGATAGCAAATGCCAAACCTGTTGATTGAAAAACACTGTAGCATCAGCTTTCAACTTCAGTCCAAGAAACCCATTTCCCATAATCAGCTGGCACAGCATATGGAGTACATCCTTGGGAACACGACTTGTTTGTATGAAAAACAACTTGTGACATTTGTTCGATCAAATGTGAAAATGGCTGACTTCAGAATTGAATGGGGAACACTAAGGAAGGAGCGGGTTCGATGTATCCACGCATGCCATATTGAGGGTCAAAGTTGACCATCCACGGCCTCAAGAAAATGCCAGTTTCTCCCGACGTCAAAGCGTCTCTCCCTGCATAGTTCCTCAGTCCGTACGCAAAGAAAAATCAGAACAAACAAGGTTGCACAAACTACAGGTGGACAAGACCCTGACACATCGTCCTCTGGTGGAAAGTGTTCATCCACCCAGTGCCAAAATTTGATCCGTTCTTCCTGCGCTGCCGTTCAATGGTTGAACACAAAAAAAGCATTGATAGTTGATGCCATACTGACAGACAGCCGTCTCAATGACTGAAACCCACCTGGGTGCCAAGTGTGGCATGAAAGAACTTGTCAATAGTCGTGTGCTCGTTCAAGACATGAGTCCTTGAAGTACTTGCAGTAATGATTATATAATACATGAGAAAACATCCTTCGCACAGCGTCCAAAATGCCAAGTGGCAGCCACTGATCGAAAAGTCGAACGTTCTCCTTGAGCATCAGATCCACTGGCACATGGATGTCCCCCCCCGACTTCAAAGCCTTTGGAGGCTTGTCACCTCCACCAGACTTCCGCTTTGCCACCATGGTTGTGGCGTTCAGAGCCCAGGCTGCTACCAACTGAACTTAATTCCAGCAGCATCGCAACTGGTGGTTGTTGCACAAATTCTACTGGCCTGAGTGATCCAAAATTTGTGCAGACTGACAGCTGCTGTTTTAAATATAGAGTTGCGCAACACAAACCTCTCAACCAGATTGGGGACCGATTTTGTGCAGAATGAGGCTGTCATTCTGCACAAAAAGTTCTTGAACATTCTGTGTCTAAAATATCTAAATATAAAATTATATGTGTATTAATTACCATGCCGCACCCAAATTTCTGAAACGTTTAGGGTTTAGGGTTTAGGGTTTTGGATTTTTAGTCTGAAGTTCATCCCTCATGCCAACTTGCACAACTTGCGCAACACCCGACGCTGATGCTACAGCGTTTTGTTTTGCAGAAATAGTTGTCTGAAGACTGCAGCCTAAAACGTGCAGAAAGTCATCCCCATCCTGCACAAAGCCCTGGTTTGACAGCTGATGAATGGAAGAAACACACTTTCACATGTGAAAATCACAGTCTAGTTGAATGTGGACACAGGTTTGTGTGCAGGGCAGGGTTGTCATTATGCACAAACCGGCTTGGTTTGCGCTATGCCCCTTTTCTGCAAAAATGATCTCCTACAAAAGAACCACACAGTTGTTTACTCAAACTATGTTTAATTTGCGTGAATACAATATAGAAATAAGATCTCAACAACCCGCTGTGAAAAGTGCTGTCAATCACTACCATCATCTTGGATGCAAGCATTGAATGCTTGCCGAACTACGTCTATGGCCTGGTCCCAATCCACACCAGATGCCCACAAACGAGTTGCTGCCCTGTACTCATGAATCCGCCTTCGCTGAACTTTGTATTTGTCCAGCGCAGACTTTGCCAAGCCCTCACTCTTCAATTGAAGCCGGTTGAGCACCTCAAAGTTTCAAAGGTACTGTCATATGACTATGACTGTCATACGCTGTGAACATCGAAGGCAATGACATGAATCAAGCAAAGTGGCGGGATCGAAGTTTCGGCCTGATGCTGGCGGCCCACTGGAGCCACCTGCGCCAACCGCTGGTCCACAGGTTGGAAGGATCCTCGAGCGTGCATCTATATCATCTATTGCAAGGTAATCATAGTTACAGCAGTTCTGACTCTCGAAATTGCTAAGCGCAGTGCAATCCGACACTCAGCAAAGGCTTGTGGGGAAGGGAGCCATTTGCCAATGCCACCAAATAATCAGCTGCGTCACGCAAGTCATATGGATCCTGTCCTCAACACTCTTAGATCAAGAAGTGAAGACAACACATCACTGAGAAGTGAAGAACCACTAAAGATATGACAAGGGTCTCATCTTGGCAGCATATGATCGATAATGATCGGCAATCTTGGGGTCCACGCAGTTCTCATCCACCAAGACTCAGGGCACAGGCAGGCACAAAGTCTCCAAAAACATGGTCCAAAATCAGAGAGTGACTGAAACAAAAAAACAGCCTTCCGGGAGTGATGAACTCGAAATGGACAACGCCAGTGCAGCTGGCAAGAAGAGAAGTGGCTTCCCCAAGTACCCCACGTCTGACATGTATTGCTTCGTCCTGACACTTTGGTTGCTAACTGACACACACACACACTCACAGCAACAAAACATCCAAAAGCTCCAAAAGCACTTGTATAAATTAGTTCAAGGCTCCGCAAAACAACATTGTCCCTGTGGAAATCACCCAAGTCACGGCGTTCCCAATATTGGCAGTCAACATCGCCAGCTGCCAAGCCTGTCAGGATACTATTTGGCATTGGACAAGGCTGCGTGGCCCTTCAACTTGAAAGCAACCTCAACTGACATTCAGCAATATACCGCCTTCAGAACTCATCAGGCTGCCCATTGCGTCGAACTGAAATTCGTGTGGGGCACCTGGTCCACCCAGGCCATAAAGGAAGCTGTTGCGGAAGCCCACGTGTAACCACGGTTTCCTTGGCTGCAAAATTCAACCTTGCCACTTTCTGCTGTACCAACAACAACAATCATCATCAATGTTATTCGAACAAGAAAACACATGTTCTGTATAAGAGGAGTCCAAGGAGCCAGTCGCGGATTTGGCTGACGCCCTTCACCACCCGCAGCTTTTCGCGCGGCCGCACAGATGGGTTCTGGAAAAACCGGGAAACAGCATTTTCAAATGCATCTGCATTGTGCAGCTCTTTTTGAGTCTGCAAGTAAGCACCCATCAAGCTGAAAGCTTGATCGACATCCTCATGAGAATGTCCTGAGACGAGGCACGAGAGCCGTGCTCGTTTGACACGGCCCCGTGCCACCAAGTACGACAGTAGTTTCAGGAATGCATTTGACTTGCATTCCTTCGAGCAGTTGTCGGCCTGCACAGCCAGCTCGCAGTCGCGTAGGTCGACACCTTGACGCGCCAAGCAATCAAGGACATGCAGGAGACACTCGCATGTCCAGCTGCTCCCCTTCGACACTCGGGGGTCACCCATCAGGACACCACACATGTGGCCGTGTGCTAAGAGAAGGGTGACGTCCAGCACTGGCCGTTGTAGGTTACCAAGTTCCTTGGTAGCCAGCGCCGCAGCCCTTGGAACAGCCCATTTTGTCCTGTCCATGGAGTCTATGATTATACTGATCGTCCGGCACCCATTTCCATCGTAGTTCCCAAGCCGACTTGAACTCCGACAAGTCCAGTACTGGACCCTGTCCGCATACTGGCGGTCAAGGTGTGCAGTCCATTGCTTCTGCTGCGCAACGATTGCAGATCGATTGCCCACTAGCTTTCGGATGATGAACTTGTGCTTGACACATTCGCTGCATGTTTTGTGCTGCGAAGTTGTTCTGACTCGCAACCGGTCTCCAAAGTTGGCTTCCCACACCTTAGTTTCATTTACTACTCTGTGGTCACTTATTATACGAATAATGGAAAACCATCTTATATAACTTATATACCCATCAACAGAAAACTTATGAACAATTCAGCCAATGAACCCGCATGAAGAGTTTCATGGAAACATTAACACTGGGATACGTTGCGTGGAACATCCTCAGGTAGTCATGGAAACTTCCCGGGGGAAGGTGGCGCACCAGCTTCGCTCTCGTCTCATCCAGGGGCCGATCGCGCTTCTGGAAGGTTCTAGGCCTTTTGCCCTTCCGTTTCTTGAAGCGCAGCGGCTTGCACACTTGCAGCTGCTGTCCGTGTGAATCAGCATCAACAACAACCTCTGGCATCGGCTCACTCAGTGTTTCATACAAGTACTGCAGGAAGTCATGGACTTGCTCACGTTTCCACGACATGGAGTTGTCATAGTTCCTGGGCTTGGAAGCAAACCGCCCATCCATGGGTGCGTGTGTGTCATGGTTCTTGATGGCTCGCGCAATCTTCACTGCCCTATCGGTTCCAATGCCCAGGAGCCTGGCCAGACCAAACTTGCAAACCAAGCGCCCACACAAGAAGTGTTTCTTGGTCTGGGAACAGCCTGGTGATATTGGTTCTGGAGGCTGTGAAAGTCGGTGCTTACCAGCCATCACGTCGAAGACCTGACTTTGTCAGTTGTTCCAACATCCAGAATGAACAGTTTCCAATATCCAACCCAACCCACAATAACTGTATTGCTTCCGCACCTTCAATTGAAAGCCTGAAAGCATACTAATGTTGAACATGCTGCGAGCTGATCAGCGTCAGCCTTGTGCATGCTATGCAGCTCCTTCCGAAGATCAAACACTGCCTTGAACGCATGAGGTTCCCGAAAAGGCGTGTAGCAGTTCCGCTTGGTGATCGTGGAACGGCATTTACTATGGCACTTGCAATGGGCAGCAACCAGGTGGCGCAAAGATTTGCGAATCTCACTTTCCGCAATTGCACTCAACTCAGCCTTTCGCTTTCGACGTCCTACTTGACGAGGTCCAACTAGTTCTGCGCTGCCCTCATCATCTGACAAGCTGCGAATATCGCACAACATGAGACAGCTATCGACAGGAAGGCTTTGAACAATACTAAATTCTGTAAGTTGACTGATATTAAGTCTTGTCCAAACCTGCCTGTTGAACATCCAATTCTTTGTGCTTGGAAGACATTGAACAACAGAACCAAATCTGCAGATTCGGATGAAGTTGGCCAAGACTTGATCTCACAAAACTTCATGCTCAACTCAAAGAATCAACATCATCCGCTGCAAGTCTAACATGGTTCAAAACTTTGACCGACACACACAACGACTGTTTCACTCTCACCGATCGATCAGTCAGCTGACACTTGAAACTAAATCTGAATCTAACACAGTCTTAATCAGTCTGAATCAGCGTCGCTCTCCCCCAAAATCAGGGTTGGACGCCGGAGCAAATCTATGGGGCGAGTCCGAGGCGAACGGGAACGGCACCTCGTTGAGCCTGCAAAGCTTGAAGGTTACACCTGCATGACACCATCAACAACAAGCCGCCTTCTGTGTGGCACTTGGGGTCCTTCTGGATCACCTGACAAAGGAAAACATTGCAAAACTCATCCAATAAATACACCACACAATAAATACACGCAATATATCATTGGCCTCAGTCTTGGGTTCTGCATCCTTCGCAGTGGCCTGCAATGAATGTGTCAGGTCTCGTCACTAACCTAGTACCAAGCAGCAGAGCCTGCACTTTCGGGCGTGGTCGGGGCAACACTTTCTGCTGGAGGTCGCCACTGCCAACCTTCAGAATCAATAGTAGTGCATTTGAATCTGAAACTTGAAATGAAAGTCAAAACGGCGTTGAAAAACGAGACTAGAATTTGCACAATGACTGAAACTGGAGTTGCCGCGCCTGCGGCTCAGCACTTGCAACAGTCACCGACTTCACAGTGAGATTAGTTGTAGTAACCATTGCCCAGAAGCAAGAAAAGCTGGTAGTAGCTAATCTCTCAGTCAGGCAAACTCTTGTGGCTCGAACCGGCTACTAGTTAGCCAGCAATGATATCATCAAAAAAACGCGACAGGACAGCCAACGCAGTCATGTGTGAATCAGAACACTTGACAAAGCCAGTTTCCTTTCCCCTCACTCAAACAGATTGGTGTCAACTGGCTCACGTTAAGTAAGCTTCAGTCCCCGAATTAGGACCCCACAGCCATGCTCATTCGAACGTGGGTGTTCAGCGGGTTTGGAGCTCTGTCACCAAAGCTGTCATAGCAAATTCCGCCACTTTTGGCATGACAATGTTGCCAATGCAACATAGCCGTTTTTTCTCCTTGGAACCAAACTGATCTGTGAGCCACGATGCCCTAGGTGGTTGATCATGTGGGCTCCACAGGGCCTGACACTGGGCCTGGAAGTACTCAGCTCCTTTCAAAGGAATGTCCTGCAAACACTTGTCAAATGCAAAGTGTACCTACTACTAAGTGTGAACCTTCAAGAGTTTTGTCCTCAAACTTGTAGCCATAGCGGGTCGCCAAAATAAACACCCGTTCACGGTAGACCTGACAAATGCCATTGAATCAAAATCAAAGAGTCGAACTATAGTTAACAAAACAACCAAGTGCCCTGCGTGAGCTCCCACATTGTGGCCCTTCACTGTGGCCCAGCGAAGATCAAATCCGCGTTTCCTGAATTCCTGCGCTGAAGCAACAAGTGCGTCATGAAGAATGCCTGTCAAGAGTGTCCTTCACCACAAAGTCCATCAGTGGTTTCAGCTTCAAAGCGAGGATGCCACCAACATTCTCCAACAAGGCAAATCGCCTTTGCGAAACAAGAGTCAAACGCAAACAATATACGCAGTAGTTAAATCAGCTGAAATGTTTCCAACTGAAGATGCAACTAAATGACATACCAGGACATACATCGATGAGCCTAAACATTTCCCTGATGAGCCCTGTCCGCGGGTCGGACAATCCCAACCTCTTTCCACTGCGTGATGATCCCTGAAAAAGCAAATGAAACAGCAAAAAGACAGAAGAAAAAAACACACCAAGTTCAAGCTGATTAACATGATGCACCTGGCAAGGGAACCCTCCAATCATTCCCAGGATCACCTTTGACAACTCCGCGCTGGGCACAAACTTCGTGATGTCGCTGTATATTGGGCCCTTCTCCAACAGCCCATCTGCCATGCGTCTCTCAAGAACTGCTTTGCAAAAGCAGTCTCGCTCGACCTGAAATAGCTAAATTACAAAACTCCAAGAACAAATGATATCAGATATCACCAATGTAAATCTCCAAAGGTCGCGACATAAGCTTTGGCATGGCAAAACCTGAGCCATCAGCCATCAGCGAAGACACACAAAAAGATCTGCAAATTATATAGTTCAAACCATAAGCATCAGGCTGGCGAACTCCCAACTCAAGTCCGCCCACGCCAGAAAAACATGAGAGCACTGGTAGCGGCTTTGCCTCCAAGAAACAAACCATTTATGAAAATGAGCTAAACTTGAAGCCACCTCTGGACATGGCGGAAACAAACGTAGGAATGAAGAGCTGCACACTGATGCATCAGGATCTGTCCAATTTGCCGGTAGGCCTCGGCTGCGCTGTTCAGAACCATTGTTTTTGTGATTCAACAATACAATGCGACCTTTTCAAACTCAATTTCTGATACATGTTCTTTTTAAAGCCAAAGGTCCAACCATCCACTCACCCAAACGAGGCATGACGAATCGCCGCTTCGGGCTCCGGGGCACCTTCGCAGCCTTTAAGGCTGCTTTGTAGGCGCTAGAGTGGTAGATCTGCGTGCTCAGGTCCTGAGAAGAACATAAAATAAAAACCTGGCCAAAGCAACTCAGGTGTGAAAAACAAGCCCTGTCCTGCTTGCCCCTTTCTGACAGGTATCTGGTCGTGGCGCAAAATGTGCTTGAAAACACACCTGAAGAAATTCACCAATGATTGAAAAGCTGAGACTTCTTGGCACCACGTGCGCAACATGAAAACTCAGCACGTGACATGAACATTACTTGTCACTGCTACATGCAAACCAAGCACGGATCGTGCCATAGCTCCTGACAAACACGCTCTTCTTGATGAGTTTCTTGGTCTTCAGCTTCTTCTGTGTCAGCTGGGTCATTCGTTTGGGAGGAACCTGAAGTTGCAACATTGCTACAAAAGCCTTTCAAGTGAACCACGCAAACCAAAGGCCACACCGAATTCCACGACAAAAGGCTAAACGAAGCTTCAATGGATCAACTGATGGCAGGCAAAAAGGTCTGAATGAGTTGACTCTTCCGCCAGCTGCGCACACCACACCAAATCGAGGATACTTCTCAACGGCGGCCTTGCACGAGAAGTACAAAAGAAAAGCAACCCGTTTAAGAAGTGAAGGAGCAACCTGTTTAAGAAGAGTTTCTTGAGTTGAGGCTCGAACGACTCTGGGTAATTTGGCAGGTGGCTGTGGGACTCGGACAGGTGGAGCTGGAAGTGGTTGGTCGTCACTGAGCAACACAGCCAGCAATGGTAGCGCTGGAAAATCATTTGTCGTTCCATCACTCTGATCTTGAACACGCACAAATAAGAATCTTAGCCCTTGACTCACTCAGACATTCAGTGTTTTCCAAAACCATGGCGTGGAATTAGGCCAGATTTGTTTGCAACAGCTTCCAACCTTGAGCAGCTCAGAACCTAGTCCAAAACATATTTCACGAGTGTTGGCAATTCCCTACCACTCAATCCAAAGTATCATGATTGCAAAGCAGGGTCATGCCACAGGATATGGCTATTTCATTGCAGTATACTCATACTCCTTTTTTTGGCGGACCTTGTTCAACAAATCACTTGTGTTTCTTTACCTTTAGCTTAGCCTTGGGCTTAGCTGGATCTTCACCTACTTTCCGCAAGTCGATCCAGGTGACAGCACCTGATGGGAACTTGAAAGGGACTGGACGTTCGTAGCGCTTCGGCTCTGAAATCGTCCAAGCGAAGACTTGGTTATATGTAATGCTACTCGGGCACACGCGATGTTTCTGTACATTTTCCTCCAACTCGACAAACAAATGCTCATTCCCGTACACGGGAATCAGCACCCCATTCTGATTCCGTTGCGCCACGTGTGCACATCCTGTAATAGTGCATTCGCCGTACAAACAAGATGTCCCTGTGATAGCCAGCCCAATAACACAGCGCTTCGTAGTAGGTCGATTTCTCAACTCCCAAACCTTTGTCCCGTCCAATATGAGGTCTGCCCACTGTTTGTGAACCAGCAAGGCACTTCCAGGCGCCATGCTCTAAAGCAAAAAGACAAGGTCTTTGTCCCAAACATTGCAATCGGCGCGCGTCGAGTTGGCTCACCCGAAAAACAACCACATCGACACGCGATTCGATAACAAAATCTTTAAAAAAACAAACACAACACAGGTCAAATGATGATACTTTACAAGACATGATGTGTAACATACTATATACACTGTATCAGCGTAACCACGAGGGAGTGTGTTTGTACACAATATTGTATATTATTATGTATTCCTTGGATTCAATGCCAAACCCATGATTACGTGGCATTGAATACTTTTTCACCTGTGGGCTTCTCAACTCCTTCACGCCTTCAAACTACTCAAGTTGAAGGCCCTTGTCAGGAACTCAGTCAACATGGCCATTGAAAACAGTGGTGGCGACCTATTGTGAACATTTGTGACTACTGACAGTTATCATGGCTATTGGGTAGCCATGGCAGCCAGCAGTCAAGATGGCCATGTTGGCAACCTCTTTTGGTCCATGAAAAACACCAAATGGGATGGACACCCAGATGTAAAATGAACACCTGGATGTAAGGCATCAGTCTTCGGAACCATGTCGAAATCCTTCCCCAGGTTCTCCGCCTCCTGCTTCAACCGGTCCACTCGGCTCTGGCTAATGGCTTCGACTGCTTCGGACTCCTTGATCAGGGCGTCATACTCCTCGATCATCGACGGTTTCCACTCCTTCAGATTCCTCCGGACTTCTGCCAGTCCCACCAACCTGGTCTGCAGGAACTCCTGGGGGTCACCAGCCGCCTGTTCGGCCTCGATCCGCTGGGTGGCTTCTTCGCGTCCTTCTCTCACTGCCTCTTCCGCTATGTCCTCGACCTCCGTCGTCAACATCTTCAAGAACCTCTCATTGACGATCTCGCCCTTGTCCTCCTCCAGCAATCTCAACTCCTGGGCCAGCAATTGTGCTCCTCGATGCTGCAGCTCCCCCCAACTAGCAGCCTTGGATTCTCCCTCCAGGCTAGGCCTCCACTTCAGGCACTTCCGAATGCGTCCCGGTCTCTTGCGGGGTTGGTCGGTGTCCTCGCGGTCGTCGACCTCGTGGATGAATCCCGCTTCCCTCACCGGAATTTCAGCCTTGTCTGGGATCTCACCGACTTGGATGATGTCTCCCGTATGGAACAGCTTGCCCGTCTCGATCTCCTGAACCAGGTAGCCCGGGGTCGTCATCGACATCGTAACCGCAGGGCACAAGACACGGACACGAGTTCGCGTAGTGGAGAGGTACTTTTGCCGGTCACTATAATACTTCCTCTTAGCCCACACCACCTGTCCGAAAGGGGCTAACTCTCTTTTCTTCCACCCCATCGACTCCAACTGCCGTCTCATGCGGCCCTCAGCCCAGTGTCTTGCCGCGTGGCACCAAAAGCTTTCATCCAAGCCTGCAGCTACGAGAAGCGTTCGTGCCCCACGCTTGACCTGGGCAATCGCATTCTCTGCACGGCCGTTCCCCTTGAAGTTGTCGCCGTCGTTGAAGGTTCTCATGATGCCCCTGTCGTGGCACCACTTTTGAAAAGCTCGGGATTGATACTCTCCTGCCCGGTCCGAGTGAAGCCGTTTAACCGGGAGCCCCAAGAAGAGCTTCGCAGCCATCCTCCCGATCGCCTCCACGACAGCGGGCCCTCCCCGGTTCTCCAGGATCTCAACCACCAGGACCTGCTTGACTTGGAAGTCGCTCTCTGCTTCCACCTTTTCCAACCAGGCCTTGTCATCATCCAGGCCAGGCCACTCTTCTCTCATGCCCTCCTTCTCGACATCCTCAACCACCATCAGCTCCGGGCCGTCCTCCATTACTCCAGGAAGCTCCTCCTCCTCATTGATCGGAATGAGCGACTGACCCTCCTTCGTCACTGGAGCCAGATAGACGCCCACGAGCAAATAGCGCCCCTTCCCCAGTTGATCCTCCGCCAACTCGAACGGTCCAGCGGTGTCGATCGAAAGGGTATATGCGTCTGGGTGCGGGATGCGTCTGTGAGCCTTGCTCCTCGACGCAGCAACGACACAAGCCCTGCATTCTCTGCTATAGGGCAGATGCCCATTGAGAAGGTGTCGCTTCCACGCATCAAGGTCCATTTTCTTCGCTTGTGGTGGTCCACAATCCAGAGCTTCCCTCACGGCCACCACCAACGCTGCCTTGAGACCTGGAGGCCCAAGACGCCCATGACTTCGATCGGGCGATTCGTGCTTGGATGGAGTCTCCTCGATGGTCTTCTCCCCCGTGTCCTGGCCCTCGTAAGCCCTCCAACTCGACGAGCTTCAGCATGTTCGTTCCTAGCCTCGTGGGCTTTCTTCGAGCATGCCCCATGGGACCTTGGTCAAACCTCACTTCAAATAGTCCCCACAGCTCCGACCAATAGGTCGGATATCGAGGGTGTCCAACCAGCTCGTCGGGCTTCTCGTCCGCCCCCGCGCCTCCAGCTCCTCTCTTTGCCTCTCCCAAGTAGGCTTCCGGGTCATCGGGCTGTTCCAGAGCCGTCACCACCATCCTGGGTCTTGCTGCCTTTGAAGCTCTATGGTGGAGGTCATAACCCAGCGAGATCAAGACTCCCAGGACCACAATGGTCTGGACTTCATTCTGGGTGAGGAGAGTCTTCGTCCATGGGATCTGCCTGAGCGTGACTGAGCCTTCAGCCAGTTCGACTCGGACCTCCTGGGCGCGCTGCCACTCTTCCTCCAACTCAGCCTTCCGGAGACAGTGAGTAGCCCCACCATCTAGGAGAGCTCTGTCATTGGTTCGCACCTCGAGGCTGCTGAGCTTGATTGCCTTCACTGCTGTTCGGCCGTCACTCGCCGGCCTCAAACTCTTCAAAAGGGTGGTCGCCTCCGAAAGCAGAGCTTGCACCTCTCCCGAGCTCGCGGCAGGCCTCTCCACCTTCTTCTCATCCATCACCTCCTCCGCCAGGGTCTGCTGATTCTCCGGGTTCCCCTCGGTCTTCTCAACCTTTTTGACACCATTGCCCTTTTCCGTGCCCTTCTTGAAGGTCTTCATCCGCTTGTCTCCCTCCATCTTCTGCTTTGTGGCGGGACACTCCTTCTTGGTATGCTTGGTCGACGAGCGTCCGAAGCATCTGCCCTTCTTCTCCAAACCGCCCCAATCATGTTTGAAGCGGCACTCCTGACCTTTCCGGCAGCCATCTTCTGACCCTCCGAACCTGCAGGTCTTCTCCTCGGACTTTCCCTCACCCTTCGACTTCTCAGTGTTCTTCTCCACCTTCTCCTCAATGGCCGCAGTCATCGCCTTGACCTTGGTGGTAAGAGGAGCGGTTTTGATCTCCTGGACCGGCTGCAGCTCGCTGATGGCTAGAGACTCCGCCTCAGCCGTGAGCATGTCCGAGAAATTCAGTACTGTCTCCAAGGTGGGCGTCACATCAACTCCCAATGTCGCCCGAGTTGAAGACATCCTGAATGCCACTTGGCTGGACGTCCGTCCCACCAACTCTGACATCTTATCCAACGCCCCCAGCAGCAGCGTGGCATCTGGCGTCGCGATGTCCAGCTCCTGCGCCCGTCTCAAACTTCTCCTCCACCCTCGAAGAGCTTCCACCACCTCATTCATGGACTGCGGAGCCTTTGGTTCCACCGAGACCTCTCAGCGAGTCCACCGGGCTGGTATCGCCTGAACAGGGCGTACAAAACCTCCACCGAACTGGTAGTTCTCCTGGCCAAGACCTCGGCCTTGATGTTCTGTGGGGCGGCATTGATCAACATCAGTTGCCCTCGTTGTTCCAGCCGACTCCACATTCCTGAGCATTCGGGAGGTACTCGAGGCCTGATGTACAACCGCTGCACCGGTTCCGCCTGGAGCCACTCTCGGTATGCCACCATCGCCAGGTTCAGTACCTCCTCCCACCATCTCCAGCTCGAGGCACTCAAATCCTTCATCGTCGGCGTGATGAGTTGGATCCAGTCACCAAGGATCAACGAGCCCAGATCGCCTTCTCGAAGGTCCTGCAATGGTGGGAGTTCAACTGACCTGATCACCTCCCCCAGTTCCCGTCCGATGAGCTCGTCCCAAGCTGCCTCAGAACGGACTGTGCCGCCTGCTCCAGAGGAGAGCCCTTCATCAACTCTCGCATCCCTTCTCTTTCTCCGTGGTGTCCCGGTTCTTCGCCTGGTTGACGTCCTGGATGTAGTCCCCACCCTTGAGCTCCCCAAGAACCTGGCACTCCGGGTACTCCTGGGCCTCGTTGGAGTCCATCTCTCCTCATACAGTCCATCGGCTTGGTCTCCATGCCACCTCCCGGGAATTCCGGAATTTCCACGTCGGCCCATGCCTGACCCAGACCTTCCTTTCTCCCACGGTCAGGTGTCACCGGAGGCGGTGCCTTAGGAGGTGAAGGTGGTGGTGTAGTCGTCGGTGGTCGCGGCTTGTCCTCAATGGCCTTGGCCGCCTTGGTTTCGACCGTCTTCCGGAGTTCAACCAATTCCTTCTTCAAGGCCGCATTCAGTGTCATCACCGCCTTCAAGAGCTCCTGGATGTCCATCGAGATCCCTCGTCCTTCTTCTCGCTCCACCCGTCCAGAAGTCGAGGGACCCTCAAGGAACCCCGCCTCCGGCTCCGCCGTCGGCAGCGCTGCCGGCCGCATGGCTCGAAGCATTGCCTCGTTCTGAAGTCGCTCGCTCCAAAAGGGGTTGGTGACGACCTTCCCTTGTAGTCCCTTCCCCTTTCCCTCTTTCTCTCGTCCCTCACCACGTCGGGCGGGTCCGTAGACCACCGGTGGGCCAACTCCCCGCTCGGGTAGTCCTCGATGGCCAAGGGTCCATCTTCTTTGGCGCTCTCCATCGATCCCTCTTCCGGCGTCGAGGAAGAGGGCGCTGCCGTCGGCATGGGAGCCAGCTACCCACGACCTGTGGGGTGGTCTTACCTCCTACCTAGTGCAGGGTCGTTGGGCTCATAACCCGCACAAAGCCTTTAACTTTTCCTCCTACCGAGAGGATCCAAAGTTGTTCTAAGGACACATTCGACAACAAACGACAGCTTCATCATTCAACGCTCTCGTATGTAGAAAACCACTATGTTTGCTTAAGACATCTAAGGTCACATGGCAATATCAACTCTTGAGTACACAACCTGTTTTTCACAATGGTTGTGTGTACGCTTTCGATTGCGTGCGCAAACGAGAGCGTTGAAACAAAGAAGTAAATGTCGGGCACTCTGCTGCCGGCAGGCGCCAGATGCATACGCCAGAAGCATCGTCCCAGCGCTTTGCAAACAACAGCGTCCCAAAAACGCTTTGCAAACAGCAGCGCCCACGCACTCCAAAAACGCTTTGCA